CGATTATATAACTAACTAAACGCCTTATCGAATAGCTAATTAAGAAAGTCCTAGAATATTAGGAAGGCCTATAGAAGGTAACCTTATTAGTTCTTATCTAATTATATACTAGCCGAATTACCCTTAGGGGGTATCTAGCTAAGATTAACCGCGTAGAGACTAATCGATATATATACGACTAAGAGCGCTAGACCGTTTTATATATCCTTCTAGTCTACCTATAGTTAGTTAACCTACGCGATTATATACGTTAATAACTAGCTAATATAGGCGTTTCGATAGTAGTTAGAATAGATAAACTACTTAGTAGGAAGGAAGTAAGACCCTTTATAGCTAAATTTATACTAAATATAGGGCTTCTAGGCTAATTCCTCGATATAGACCTAATAGTTATAGGCGTAGAAGAACTAGAAGAACTAGCTACGCTAGAAGAACTAGGAGGACTAGGAGACGCTTAGGAATCTCTTAGTTCCTCTTTAGATTAAGATAAATAATCTCTTACCTAGAGATAGTAGGAGTAGGATCCTAATAACGCTTAATACTAGAGAGTAGGTACTAGATCTACTAGTCCTCCTTAACTTCTATCGTGCGTATAATAGCAGCTATAGCTGATATAGTATTTTTATATAGTATATAATACCTCGGAGTATTCCGTCGATACGAGATTAGGCCGACCGAGAACGTAGTAATAGAGGAATAGTATTACGCGGAAGAGGTACCCTAGTAATACGGGATCTCGGTAAATCGAGGATACTAACTATAGGAGGAAGAAATAAGGGTACTCGGAGATAGGGACATTCGGAAGTAGGAAGACAGAGGATTCGGTAGAGATTAAAGGATTTAATAGTTAGGGTTAACTATCTACGAGGGCTATATAGCTTATAGCGACTACTAGGGGTTAGCGGCGTTAAGAGATTAAGGGGACTAGGAGACTACAGGGATTATAGCGATTCCTCTTCCTTTCGTTTAGTCTATTTCCTTTATTAGTATTTAGCTTGTTTGGTTTTGTTTGTTTACTACGTTTGCACTACTTCCCTTCTTGTATATATAAGCAGTAGCCTAGGCGGCCTAGTTCTATAGCCCGCGCTATAGCTACGGCTGTAGCTGTGGCCCGCGCTGTAGCTAGGCTGATTAGCTAGTAGCGAGCCTGGCTGTTAGCTAGGCCTAACGCAGAATTAGGCCCTAGGTACTGCTACCTCTCGCCGGCGGCTTAGCTAGTAGGTTCTGCTACCGCTTTCTCTCTGTGTCTGCTGCTGGAAAAGCAAGATAATAAACCCCCGTATAGTACCTGTATGTAAAGGAAGCTAAATCGGGCCGATGAATTTTGATTGATTGATTATATCTTTCTTTACTAAAGTTATATTCTTTTAGTAAATTAGAGCTTTTAGTATTATTAATATAATTATTAAACTAATTATTAAGATTAAGTATAGTTATTATAAACTTATATATAGAATTATAAAAATAGTCTCTATTATCTTTAATAGTTAATAATAAGAAACTATATAGTATATAATAACCTAATTTACTTCTAATTACTATAGATATTAGTTAGGTAGTTACTATTATATCTATCTCTTATAGTTTTAGTATAATTATAATAATTAGTATTAGTATAGTTAGTATTAAAACTATTTAGATTACTATTTACTATAGTATAATATTAGTAGATAGTAGATTTATTAATCTATCTTTTTAAATTCTATTTTTATATATTATTTTAATATTATCTAGTCTTATTATATATAGATAATTACGATTTTACTATAGATAAAGTATCTATATTCCTTTAACTGGTATCTAATTAAGTAGTCTATCTTTAATTAATATATATAGATAGTTTTTAGAGCTATAAGTATTTCTTTTATAAAAAGTATAGTATCTATTTAGTATAGTTTAGTTTAGGCTATCTATCTAGTCTTTAATAAATTTAGATATTATTCTTTTAGGTCTACTTAGTAAGAAGTTCTTTAATAGGAAAAATTCGTAGTTATTCTTTTTATTATTAGAGTTATTATTCTTATTATTTAATAAAGAACAAGATTTCTTTAATTCCTTATTAATAGTAGAAGATATATATAGAACTTCTATAATTTAGAGATTATTAAATAATTTCTTAAATAATTTATAAAGATTAATAGTAGTAAAATTAGCTAGCTTAGTATAAAGTATATTAAAGCTTATATATTTATTAGAAACTAATATTAGATAATTATCTTAGATCCTTTTTAAAACTAATTAGTAAATAAAAGATAGTAGAAAAGTAATTTATTAGTAGATTTTTATATAAAGATCTTAGAAAGCTTTAGTAACTTTATATACTAAAGTAAAGTTAGAATAGTTAATTACTAAAATAATAATATAATCTTAGATAGCTTTATTATAGCCTATTATATTAAGGATTTATTTAAGACTTTTAATATATTTATTAGTAAAGTTAAATTAAAATTAGTAGGATTAGATTATATAATTAATCTCTTTTAAAATAGATTAGTATAACTAAATTTAAATATTATAAGAAGTTTTAACCTATTAAGTTATAAGTATAGTAGAACTAGTTAGTAGTCTTCTAATTTAGCAATTAATAAATTAGTATAAGTCTTTCTAGTAGAGAATTTATATTATATTATTAAGCTAAGTATTAAAATTAGTAGAGTTATTTAGTTTTTATTCTAAAGGGTTTAATTAATAGTCTTAAGATATATCTATAATCTAAGTAATCTCTTAACTAGTTATATAATCTATAATAAAGGTACTATAATCTTTACTAGCTACTAGTAGCTTAGTAAAAGAAGGATTATATTCTAAAACTATATTAGAAGTATAAAGTAGTAAGTATAAGAATTAAAAAGAAGAAAGAAAGGTAATTAGGTATAGAACCTAATAGTAAAAATCGCTACTATATAGAGGAAGCTAGGAAAGTAGGAGAGGAACGATTATTAATCTCTATCTAGAGAAACCTCTAAGAGATAGGAAGAAGAAGAAAATAGGAGATAGTCTATATAGGCTATTAACTAAAGTAATCTAGAAGAAATAGAAGGAAGAAACTAGAAGACCCTCTATATCCTATAATATCCTATAAGTAGGAATAATTACTAGTCCTATAGCTAAACGATTAAGGCTAAGGCTAAGGCTAAGGGAGAGAGGAATCTCTATTAATTATTTTAGTTAAGAAAGTCGAGATTTCTTAGTATTTCGTATAGAAAGCAGATATAACTAGTAAAAATTAAGTATAATCTTTAGAAAGCATGAAGTCTAAGGAGCTTTTTATTTTTCTTTAAGAGAGAGAAGTTTCTCTGAAAAGTAAAGGAATTTTTATTAAAGATAGAAGATCGGAGGAGGAGTATAAGCCGAATTAAAGTAGAATTAATTTAGGCTTATAACCTATAAGTAAGCTATACTACATAGGTAGGTAAAAAGGAAGAAGATTAAATAAGATAGATCGATCTTTCTTCCTTAGATTAAATAGGAAGGATAAAATTAATTCGGCTTAGAATTATAAAGATAAGATAAGAGAAAAGTAAGGTAGGACTAAAGCTTACTTGATTATATTGAATCTTAGTTACTTATGTATATAATAATCAGATCTTAGTAGAGAAAAACAGGGTATATTTATAATCAATATTTTATACAAACTTATCAAACTTCTTTCTTGTATATGATCGTTCTAGATGGATCTAGATGCATTCTAGATGCATAGTGATCTTATGTAGTAGCGGTTTGATTGGTGGTTGCTTAATTGTACGACGTAATTGATCGTAGTGATGATGTAGATCGTATACTATTATATACGTCTTTTTATGCCTGATTATCCGATTAGATAATGATGACCGTGGTATAGCATAAAGCTTATAGAGATTCAGAACATCGTTCTGCTTATAGAACAATTCTTGTATAGGCCTTATAAATCTAGCTTGATATGCTGCCTGACGGCTTAGGCATCTTGCCCTATATCTAACATGTTTCTTTGTACTTCAAAATTTGATCTTGACAAGAAGGAGGTTCAGTGGCTAGAGAAATTCCTTAAATTTATGGCACGAACTCTCGTTCTGCTTTTGATAAGAGCTTTAGTCCTATAGGCATTTTAGTTTCAATTTATTACATGAATAAGAAGTTCAAGAGGACGGTAGAGGAAGTTAGCAAAAGAACCAGAAGAGATAAAAAGGAGGCAAGAAAGATTATGCCTGAGAACCTCGCGAGAATGGGGATCACAGAACGAGTTAAATGATAAGGCTATGTTATAAATAGCTATATAGTACTTATGCGAATGTACCTCTAGTATAAAGCGCTTTTGTTTATTCGGACCGTTATTGTTCAATCTGCTTTGTATATTTTCAGACAAAAGCTCTATATAGACTGCGTAACTGATCGACTAAACTATTGACACGCTCTGTATTTATAACATGAGGTACATAGCAAATATCATATAGAGAAATCAAGAACATCCGAGGTTATTTTGGAATGTTGTGCGTTCTCCAGCCTAGATAGGCAATGTTGAAGAGATCGTTGAAGATCAAATTGATAGATCAAAGAGGGGTAAACAAGATAGGATTTTCTCCGCGGTAAAAAACAGAAAGATTGCTTAGTAAGCAGGCATGATTCAAAATGGCAATCTGGGCCCTCGGCCCATATATGCCGATATATACTATACATCTATATAAATCTATATAATAATTAGCACTGGTAGTATCTAGATAGTCTTATACGATACTAGTTTCCCTTGATTTCTATATAACTAGTAAGTACTATAAGATTCTATATCTTTACTACTTAAAATCTTTCTCCTAGTCCTATCTACTCGCAAAAAATCGATTTCGCCAAGAGATAGTTGTTTTTTTTTACTCAAATTAGAGATAATTAGAGGAAATTGAATACCGCCTGTTTTCATGCTGAGTTTAATACATAATTTATCCTCGAAAGAGGAAGAATGATAATAATCCAAGACATAATAATATAGATACACACTTTCCTGTAGGTGATAAACAAACATACACTGGCCACTAGTCCTCGTTGTCAAAATCATCATAGTCTGAGTCCAATCCCAAATCTTCCTGCTCCCAAGAATCACCTAAAATAGACGGACGTGATTTCACTTGATTTGCAGCAATATCCAATAGGAAGTCAGAGTCCCCTTTCTTGTTGGAACCTGCTCCATCGAGAAGAGACTTGTACTCGTGCCCAAGCTCTTCAACAAATGCCAGGAGCATGTTTTTTGGCAGATATCTACCAGGTGTGCCCCAGTATGGCTTGCCGTTCTCATCCTTTAGAGCATCCGCGGCTTTTCTTGGACTTTTTGCTTCACTGTGTTGCCAAGCAAGTCGCAGTACCTGGATGCAGTAATGAAAATAGAGATATCTTGCTGCTGGTCGAAATGAAGAGAGGAAATGTAACTTGCGGCCATCAAGGTCTCTGAACGTAAGTGGGTTGAAGCTGTAAATGCGAGAGTCCAGTCGGTCCCATTTTGGATCCAAAATCTTAACCTGGTATTCTCTCTGCTTGCTTGTAATCCAGCTCTTGATATTGTCCAAGCAAAAACTCGTACTTTCAGAAATGTATGGGACAATCGCCATTTTGCCGTTGTCAAAGACCTTCTCGATATGCTGAGCAAGAAGTAGGCCGTTGCGTGCCGAAAAAGCTCAGGTTCAGCCTGTTCGCCAAAGATCGCATCCATATTCACTTGTCCATGTTTCCAGGGGAAAAGATGTCCTGCGACAACCATATCAGAGTCAATGTAGGCCCTCATAATAGGACACCAGAGATATCCGGTGCCTGGTTGTCTAACTTGGTATGAATCGATTAGGGCTTGTCTGAATTTTGACTGTTCTTCCGAGCTTCTTTTTCCGGAGCCCGTGGTTGCGATATCAAGTCCAAGCTTTGAGGTTGTAAAAAGCTTCATAAATGAAGCTCGAATTGAGCCCCGCTGGTTGCTGAGTTCCTTAATGCGCTTTTCGTAGCTCCGCTTCCTCTGGTTTGAGGCGTTGGTTTGCTCGAAGATTCGCTGAGCTTCAGGAGTATCGCTCCATTGTGTTTCGCTAACCCCAGACTTGCAAATGGAGATTTTTCTGGCGAGCTCATGGTGTTTGATCTCAAGCTCTTCGATTTTAACAGCCTGCGTCCAGAATACCATATCAAACGAAGCGCGTGCCCTCCATCCTCGTGTTTCGTCTTTGATCTGGCCCTCAATTGCAATTTTGCGCTTCTTCAATACCACAATTTCAGGAAGGCTTGGAGGCTGGACTGACTCCATTGAGGAGTGACGGGTAGACGGGGATTTGTCGTGGTTATTGGGATTCATTGTGAGTTCAAGTAAGGAGACTCGTGGTTCGTAGAGGCGCGATGGGAAGCAGTAGAATAGTAGACTGTTTTCCAGCAATTGAGGGCTTATAATATGGAAAAAAGTATGGAAAGAGCAATACAGCATATAGACGTAACTACAGTTACGGGAAAGGCTTAGCTAATTCCGCAAACCATAGATACAAGCCGACCCCATAAACGGAAGGCGACCCCATAAACGGAAGCGGTCATTGTAGACTGTTGTTACTGGGTCTTCGGGACCGCCCGGGCAACCCCACTGAAACGGCCACGCATCGGAATCGGCCGGATGCTGGAGGAACTAATCTCCGGACCGCACAGTCCTTTATATTAAATTGCTTCTTGGGGCGAATTGGCTAAGTCCCCCAAGAATCAGTTTTGTTACAATCTCTCTGCTTGTTATCTGATTCAATTAATTCTCCTTCCTCCATATATTCTTCTTCTTACCTAGTTAACAGGCCCCTATCCTATTAAACAGCCCCATTACAATAGGGAGAGGCTGTTGGCACCTAGTGGAAAGTCTAGCGGCGCTTAGTAAGGCCTGATTTCTGCCTGATTTCTACCAAGCCCGTCATACCTTTCAATTACGAATTCAACCACCCCCTTCCTTCTTATATACACGTATCCTTTCCTTCTAACTTCTCTTCTATCTTCTACTACTAGGAAAGTCATATAACCTATATACTAATTCAATTTAACTAGGCCTATCATATAACCTCTTGCCTACCCTACTAGAATCATGTAACCCACACACTAATCTAATTTAATTTAATTCCTTCTAAAGTTACTTAAGACTGTGAAGCGTTAGCGAAGGTAGGGGAAGGAATTTCACCGGTCGGAAGTTCGGGGGAGAGCGAAGTCGAGGTACTTACGTTTCTATAGAGAAGAAGGAAAGGATGCGTGTATATAGGAAGGAAGGGGGTGGTTGAACTCGTAATTGAAGGTATAACGGGCTTGGCAGAAATCAGGCAGAAATCAGGCCCTACTAGGTACCGCCAGACTTTCCACTAGGTGCTAATAGCCTCTCCCTTATAATATGAGAATTCTATAGATTATATATAAATTATATAGATTATATATAAATTATATAGATTATATATAAATTATATAGATATAAGTAAGTATTAAGGTCATAAGATAGGAAGGAGGATAGCTTAATAAAGGATAAGCAGAAAGTGAAAGTAAAGTAAAGGTAAAGAGATATATATTAATAGGTATTTATCTAATAGGTTGTGAGCAAGCGATGCTGCGCAGGTTAGGTAGAGAGGAAGTAAGATTAATTGATCTTCTTCCTTTAATTGAATAGGAAGGATAAAATCAATTCGGCTTAGAATCATAAAGATGAAATAAGACAAAGTAAGGTAGGACTGAAGCTTGGTTGATTGTATTGAATCTTACTGTAATGTATCTTCAACATGATTTTCTTGGTAGAGAAAGCAGGGCATATTTATAATCAATTTGTCTCTTGCATGTGATCGTTCTAGATGATGCATAATGATCTCATGCAGACAGATCTAGATATATAGTGATCTCATGTAGTAGTTATTTGATCGGTGGTTGCTTGAATATACGATGTCATTGACCGTAGTGATGATGTAGATCGTATACTTTTGTATACGTCTTACTTGATGTTATTAACCGTAGTGATGATCTTGTACGATGTCATTGACCGTAGTAATAATAGTATAGCATAAAGCTTATAGAGATTTAGCTATCTTATATAGGCCTTATAAATCTAGCTTGATATACTATATAACGGTTTAGGTTATAACGGTTTAGGTATTAGGTATCTTGCCCTATATCTTATACCCTCCTGTAATCTTTATACTATAGTATAAATAGTAGTAAGTATAGAGATTAGTGTAGAGTAGATAGGAACGATATATATATATACTACTATAAAATAGCTAGATATATATCTTCCTAAATCTTACGGAGGTTAGCTAGATTCTTTAGGTCTTCAAATATTTCTCTTCTAACATTTTTAGTTAGAAAATCTGCTAATTATAGTGTAGTAGGGACGTATTGAATATCGACCCTTTTTTGTTTAACCTAATCTCTAATATAGTGATATTATATATTAATATGCTTCGTCCTTTTATGAAATTCAGGGTTTTCGGCTAGCTTAATAGCCGCCTTATTATCTACTAAGATAGTAGGCTTACTAGGCGTATAGCCTAGGCCTAATCTATCGTTTAGATAGTTAAAGAGATTAGCTAGATAGATAGCTTCTCGTATAGCTTCTTTTATAGCTATATATTTAGCCTTGTAGGTAGATAGGGCTACTGATTTTTGTAGTATCGAATTCTAGCTTACTATATTATTAGTAGCTAGATCTCTAGATAGGCTAAATATATAGCTAGTAGTGGATTTTCTACTATCGATATCGCCTAACTAATCAGTATTAGAGTAGCCTTTTATATATAGGTTATTCCCTATACAATCGTAGTATAGGCCTAGATTTAGCTGATATTATAGATATTACTATATGTGAGATATAGGGCAGGATGTTATCAAGCCAGACCGCCATGCAGCATATCAAGCCAGATTCATAAGGCCTATACAAGATGGCTGAATCTCTATAAGCTTTATGCTATACCATCATCACTACGGTCAATGACATCGCTATACCATCATCACTACGGTCAATGATATCGTAGAAGACGTATACTATTGTATACGATCTACATCATCACTACGATCAATGACATCGTACAATCAAGCAACCACCGATCAAACAGCTACTGCATGAGATCACTATCTGTCTGCATGAGATCATCATGCATCTAGATCTAGGATCTAGAACGATCACATGCAAAAGAGGTTTGATAAAGATTGATTATAAATAAGCCCTGTTTTCTCTACAAAAATCATGTTCAAGACATACAAGCAAGATTCAATACAATCAACCAAGCTTCAGTCCTACTTTACTTTTCTCTCATCTTTATGATTCTAAGCCGAATTGAACTTATCCTTCCTATTCAATCAAGAGGAAGAAAGATCAATCGATCTTATTTAATCATCTTTAATTTATCTTCCTCTTTACCCAACCTGCGCAGCATCGCTTGCTCACAGGTTATGAGCCCGAATTGATCCTACTTCAATTCGGCTTATACCACTTCTTCAATCTTCTATCTTCAACGAAGAATCCTTTACTTTTAAGAGAAACTTCTCTCTCTTAAAGAGAAACAAAAAGCTCCTCCGACTTCTTATTTTCAAAAATTTATACTCGATTTTTACCGGTCGCGTCTACTTCTCTATACGAAAACTAAGAAATCTCAACTTTCTTGACAAAAACAATCATTTTTCAAATATTCAATCAAGTTTTTTGAACTCAAAATGATCAACAAACACAATATCGATCCTCTCAAAGGAGAAGGAAATTATGTTGCCTGGTCTATCCGAATCAAGGCAATTCTTGATCAAGAGAGACTGATCGATGCGATTCTACATGATTACACAAAGCTTCCTGCTATTCAGCAAGGCCAGATTCCTAATCAACACTGGTCTTATGAAAAAGCAATTGCTCTACCACCTGATCAACGATCACCTGATTGCAGAAATACTGCGATTTGGTCAGGAAGAAGATCTGGTAGACCTACAAGATCTACTAGCCCTGCTGAGATAGGCCAAAATGAGCTAGTTATTCCATCTGATAAATTCAAAACTATTGATCAGATGAATCGAGACGCTCTATCATCAATCAAGCTATCATGCAAAGATGGCCCACTCTTTTGGTTAGGAGATACCACATCGGCCTACCAAGCATGGGTTACCTTGGCTACCCAATATCGACCTAAAGGCTTTACTACCGAATTCCTTGTGTTGAAAAGCCTATTCAATAGTCAATTAGGCGATTTCGATAGCATGCATGATTATCTCACTGAGATAAGACGCCTGCTAATCGAACTGGCAAGCCTAGGAATCGATTTCCCAAAGCAAATCGTATTCGCATGGGTTCTCAACAATCTTGACCAATCATACGCACCGATTATTCAAAATATTATTCAATCTCTTCGCAGAGACTCTGATTCTTATACGATTGAATCGTTATTCGCCAATCTGATTGACGAATCGCGTGGTCATATTCAATCAAGCGAACAAATCTTCATAGCTGATAGCCATCAGCCTAATCGACAGAACAAATATCAGGCTCATCGCAAGCCTAATCATCAGGTAAAGCACTATTCAAAAAATCGTCAGGCTAATCAAAATCGTCGAATTAGCAAAAAACCATGGAAAAAATTGTCAAATTCTGGCAAATACTGTACGCATTGTAATATGCGAAGCCATACAGTAGCAGATTGCTGGTATCTGCATCCTTCTGGCAGACCAGCTAATTGGATACCTAGGGCAAATTGGCCTAGATCCAATCAAAATAATCAAAGATTTAATCAACAAAAGAAGATGATCACAGCAATGCTCAATGAGCAATCTGACGAGGAAGAAATCCACGTCACTAGTCATGTGACAGATTACCCCGCAGAAGCTGAACATCAAGAAACCTCGGCTAGCAACCTACTGCCTACTAGCCTATTGGCTAATGATCCAATTGATCTTGACGGTGATATCTGTTATACACCGATTAGTCCAATTGACTATCGATCAGATTATCAGATAGAATCTGATATACCCATGACAGAGGCACAGCCAATCAGGCATGGCCTACCAATCTTTGATGATCAAAACCTGATAAGAGACTACTCAAATCTGAGTAATGAATCTATGGTGAATACACCAAGAAGTCTCTCACTCTGCGATGAGTTCTCGCATGAAACCGATCAGGTAATTTATCTACCTATCAAAACAAACCAAGAAACCAATTCTGATATCACTATAGAAAGTGCATATAATCTGATAAATTCAGATCTTTCTACTACAAAAGTGATTTTCATTATTGATACAGCTGCCACTATATGTGCAGTATCTAAATTGGATTTGTTTGATAGTGTATATAAAACTAATAAAACTGTCATGTGGGGA